TAAATCACTGGCCGGCGATTTGGGCGTTCGAGTTCTTTCCAAGGGCCGAACCCGCGGGGTTGCCTGCGCGTGGCTGGGCCGTGACCAGAGCGGGATGGGGTCCCGGGGAAGCGGCCCCTTCTTGCCCAGTTCAGGCGATCTGAGCTGCTCTGCTGTTCTCCCCCCACCCAGAGCCCCGCGAGAGGGGAGGGTTTGAGGGTCGCTCGCTCTGTGCAAGAGGTCTGTTTCCGTGCCTTTCTGTCACTCTGATGCCAGCCTGCCTGCGGGAGCGCCGATCTGGAAGTCCCCGCAGCCGCCCTCGTCCGCTCCGCAAAGAAAGTCCCATTCCTGCCACGCTCGGGCCTGCGGCACCCCGGCGTCGTCTGGGTAGTGTGGCCTGGCAGGGGGTGTCCCCCACATGGTTGGCCCCTCGTGGACAGCCCGCCCTCCTCCCGTGGCCTCGTTGTACGCCCGAGCCCTCCAGCAGTGGGAAGCTTACGCTTGGCCCCTGCTGCGGAGAGGAAGAGGAGGGAAGACCGGGCTTGGAGGGGCAGCAGGGCACGGGCGGCGCGGCTTCTGATGGCGTGACGTAGGGTACTGGACCTGCGGCCCGGCCCAGTAAGTGACAGGTCTCGTGTCCCCGCGTGTTTGCGGCCTGTTGCAGCCACGTGCTCCCCGCTTCCGGCGTGCGGCGCTTCTCCTTTGCCGGGAGCTGGAGCCGCGGGGCTGGAAGGGACCTCCAGGGTCCCTCCCAGTCCAGCCCCTGCCCGGGGCAGGATCAGCCCGTACCGATCTGAGCATGGGGTAGAAAGATACGGTATTGGTTTGCCCCTGAGCCAAGGGGCAAGACCCCTGGCCATGCCCGTGACACCCGTGGTGGGGCCAGGGGTAAAGAGGCCCAAATACCCCTCTGGCCGCCAGGCAGCGCGGACCGCGCGCGCCTCGGCACGTCCTCTCGGAAGCTTTCGGGACCTCGTTCCCTGCCTCCCGCTTTCTCTCCGCTCCGTTTTGCCTTCTGCTCGGCGGCCGCGCTCCTCGCTCATCTCCGTTGTCATTTTTAAAAGCAAACGTGACCCCTCTTTATCAATAGACGGCGCCGAGGCGTCCTTCACGTGCTCCAGGCAAAGCCCAACCCAAATCGCAAGAGGATCGGGGACGAGACGCCTACCGGACACACGGAGAGTTCCCGTGTCACGCAGCCGATTTATTTTATTTTATTTTATTTTATTTTATTTTATTTCCCCCCCTCTCTCCGGGCTGCCTTTGGCTCTTCTGCTTGGCAATTAACATTTCCGCAGTGATTGTACCTGTGACATTTTAGTTCCCGAACGGTAATCAGAGCAGGGGAACGATATTTTTAACCACTTCCATTTTAATTGCTGCGCTGATCACTTGCCGTAATTCCAGGGACTCAGCCGCGGGGGTCCCGAGTCAGGGTTGATTTGATCTCTCTTTTTTTTGTTCAGACACTTGCGGTTTTACTTTGTCTGCCCCGGACCATCTTCTCATTCAAGTACGTGCCGATCTGTCTGTCTCTAACCCGCAGCCCCGTGGACTTCCCGCCACGGGGCTTTTTTCCCACTACCTGTGTAATAGAGCCTAGTTTTTACTTGTTAGGTTTAACCCCCCCTCCCTTTTTTTTGTAAAACCCGAAAATACAATAGAAATATTGTATTTCCCTGTAGTTTTAAGGCAGGACAATAATAAGTTATTGTTTAAATAAAAAGGAAAAAAGTTCATTTTTTTTCCCTGTGTACATTAAAAAAAACCCAACAAATCTCTCCAAGCGTATGGGAATTAAAAAACAAAAAAGACTTGTCCTGAAAAGTTGGATTAGTGCCGCACCCAACTTATTTTTCTGGTACTTGTATTTTCACATGTAAAATGATCTCTCTCTATGTTGAATTAACAAATATTTTGAGTTCAAGGAAAGAAAAAAAACAAAAAAAAAAAAAAGAAGAAGCATATTCATGGTATTAAAATGTGTTAGTAGTTCCAGCTGAGTATGTGCCCGAAACCCAAGGTTTTCGCCGAAAAGAAAACAGAAGAAGTGAAGACCTGTATGTAAAGCAAAGAGCATAACGGTTCTTTCTTTGTATTTCTAGAGGTCTAACAACATCCTTTAGTTTTTGGTGATAGACTCTTTATTTTGACGCTTCTTTTAAGGACTTTTTTTTAACAATTTGTGGTAATTTCCAGGGCCAGATCCCAGTTAATGCATGATGATGTTGAAAGCTCTGGGCCAGAAAAAGCCCCTCTACCCCATCCCACCCCCCTTTTTTTTTTTCTGCTGAGTTTTAAAAGAAAAAAAATCATGTATTTGCTGCAGAGTATTGTAATTGTCTCAATGGGAATGGTGTACAAACTTCAAGGCCTTACGTGATATGTATCATAGTTAATAAATCAATCTTGTAAAAAAAAAAAAATCCCAGCCGCCCCCCCTCGAGCCCGCCCCGGGGCTGGTTTTGCTCGTGGCTTGTCGTCTTCGCACGCGGGTGCGCTGCTCCCCGCCTCCGCCGTGCTCCTCTTTACAGATGCGTGCGAGGGAGGATCCGTGGCCCGACGTGGCTGGGGGAGGTCGTCGGTGACGGGGGCAGGAGCTTGGAGGTTTTTGAGACCCGGCTGGGGCGATGCACTTGGGGCTGGTCCTGCTTGGAGCAGGGGGCCGGACCTCCCGAGCTCCTTTCAACCCTCGCTTTCTATGCCGTGAGCAGCGCCCTGGTCTTCGCGTGCGCTGCGAAGACGACTCGTCCTTCGAAACCAGCCCGTGGCAGCCGCCCGGCGATTGGGGTGAGGCCGGAGCCCCGTGGCTCGAACGTGCGTCCCTAGACGCAGCGCCCCGCGGTTTCCTCCCTCGCACCCGTGCGGTTCGGAAGGGGGGTGAGTGTTTGGCTGCGAAGCGTCGGCACGGAAGGCAGCACCTGGACAACGGTGGGTTCATCCGGAGGGGACGCAGGAAGGCTTCGGGGGGAGAGGCAGGGCTGGGCCACAGGGTGAGAAATGGAGTCGATGCTGCAGCGAAGGCGAGAGCTGCGGGGCGCTGGGTCCGTCGTACCCAGTGCCCTGCGTGCCCGGGCGGCAGAGAGCGGGGCTGGACGGGAGAGTGGCGGGTCTCGGCAGGGTTTTGTCCCTTCCTTGCCACTGAAGGTCCAGGACGGTCCGATTCGGAGGCCGTGCCCCGCGCTCCCATGCTCAGCACCTCCCGATGCCCCTTGCCTCCAAAAACCGGTCCGGGCCCTTGCGCACATGGCTGACCTCTGAGCTGCCCCACGTCCGGTGCCACGAGCGCCCCCGTTCATCCCACGCTGGGGGGAAATGAATGTCCTCCGGCCTGCTCGTTGGCTTCTCGTCCTTGTTCGGTGGGAGAGTCGGGAATAAATCCCCAGGGACTTTCTCTTCGCCACTTGGTGCTCTGGCAGCCCTTGTCATGTCTCTCCTGAACTGCCCAGGCCTGGCCGGGCTGGGACCCATCACACGGCGGTTTCCTCCATCCTCTGTCTGGACCCACGTCCCCGCCAGGCCGGCGGCCCGCTCCCTG